ACTCAAAATAGGCATTTTCAAAATTATATAATAAATGATCTGTGGAGTATTTTGAGCTGAAAATTCACAGACACATTCTGAGGACACCTGCGACTTATATTACACACTGTAAAAAGGGGCATAATATGTCGCCTTTAATTAAATAAATGGAAAAATACAACAGCTGTTAAAATATGTTTGAAAGGGAACAAATGTATGTTGAAATAATTCGAAGAGATTCTTTAATAATGTGAACTCAGATTACCCAGTGCGCAGCTTTGATGGCCGCAAGCGCATGATCCTCAGCACGATTTCCTGGATGGGAGGGAAGAACCCTTTCCTGGGCATTGCCTACATCACAGTGGGCTCCGTGTGTTTCTTCCTGGGAGTGGTGCTACTGATCATCCACCATAAATACGGCAACCGCAACAACAATGCTGACATTCCTAATTAACTGCGTAATTATCAGCAAACCGCAGTCTGTACACTGACACGAGATTACAGTCTGGTCTATCTGTCATATATCTCATGCTGCTGTACACACACAGGTGCCCAGAGGGACTACTTGCAAACTTATTGTGTATGCACTGGAAGTTTTCAATGAGCTGTTTTAAGCGTTTATTTCATCCACACCAAAGCTTTATATTTTATGATCTTTCTACATTAAGTATTTTCGAGTAACTGAATCATGTGTAGTCATATAGTATGACTGTATTTAAACGAGTCCTACCACAAAAACATGTCCAGGCCATATTTTACCCCAAAATAATAATAATGACGTTTTATATATTGCGTATGTATATTTGATTTTGAGGTTAAATATGTTTTTGACAGGTTTTGTGAGATTCATCCTTTTGGGGATTATTGCTAATGGTATGGTACGATCACAACAGTCGTGTATTTTTAATCCGTGATTTATTAATATGAGAATGCATTATTTCTGATAGTTTGACTCATGCATATCAGCAAGGACTGTGTTACTGTATTTTTTGAAATGCTAAACTGTGAGCATCTAGATATGCTTAAAGCTAATGTTCATTTATTATTATTATTTTAGTTACTTCTTTGAAAAACTTGTTCTGTGCAATGTGTATTTAAAACTTGCAACTGCTAAGAAATCCTTTATCCAGCTCCTGTCTGTTGTTGAGCCATGTACTCAAGAGTTGTGTGATAATAAACTACAAACGCATGAGTGCTGAGATGTGCTGTGGTGCTTTTAGGACTTACACCTGCCTCGGGACTGGAGGTCAAGTACAAACGTCTGGTGTCTGGCCTGTAGTTCACTGCAGGAAAAAAAATAAAATATAAGAGCACAATATAACAGCCTCCCTCAAGTTATCGCCAGACTGCTGTAAGCAGAATGTGCCTGTAGCTCGCTGCAGGAAATTTGTTCTTTTTCCTCCTGGAAAAGTCTTGATTTGCCACTGAAATGTAATTTACACAACTGCTGCTACTACTATTTTTACTATTATTTTTAGATCGCCAATACCTTCTCCTACTGTTGTACCACCCAAAAACTGTGGACGGAATGACAAGGCAGATGTTGGGAATTTATTATTAGTTTTTTTTAAAGATTTAATTAGTGTAAAGACTCAGTGTTTTTTTTTTTTATTATTACACCTGGAAGAGCCTAGTAATGTCATTTAAAATTTTTTTTTTTTTTGGTGATTTTATAATTTAGTCGAACACAAAGCGTTTGTACATTTAAAAAATTTGGTTTTAGGTGTAACCTCGTCAAGTTCTTTAACCTTTCTCTTATGAGTCGTAAACTAAAACATGCTTATCAATAATAGTATTTAACTAAACACCTTGTGCGCCAGTTTAAAAAAGTTGCACAAAAATATCCATGACATAAATAAATAAATACAAATAAAAAGGTAATAAAAAGGTTCTATAATAATATTTTTTTCATCTTTCACTGACATTGATAATTTTACCAACATCAGTCCTGATCATAACAAAAAAAAAATATATATATTTTCAGGATTTTAATACTGCCAGGTTGTTTACGTAATGTGACATTTTTTTTTGTTTTGTTTTTGTATAGAAAAAGTTATTTTCCATATACTAAATGCTAAGCAGATTTTTGGGGGATTATTACACTCATGTATATGCCAATTATTAGCAATATGTTTGTATTAAGAAATCTGTGCGTGTGTATGTATATTTATTTATGTAGCTTTAATACAAAGAATACATTCTTAATACAAACCACACTCTGATATTCATACCAATACCCACACACTTATAATTACATAATTTCAATTCAATGGGAGATATATACAGTTGAACGCGAATCTTTTTTCGAGTCATTTAAATGAACGCGAATCTGTCCGAACGAACCGATTCTCTAAAGAACCGGACCTCTCAAACGCTTCTGTCCAGTAGGCGGCAGTATAATGCGCCTCTCGCTGCAGAGCCGAGCAGAAGAAGGAAGTGACATTTTCGAGTGTCCTTGTGCTGGTGCGGCTTCCTGAACACTGCGGGCTAAAGGAGAAATTATCACCATGTTTAGGCACTTAAGGGTGAGATTTAAGCTTTTTATGCGTGTCCTCATTGCATTTATGTGACGCAAGCGATTGATTGTCTTTTTATAAAACAGCTTGATTAGATTTGAGAGGAATTAGCAGCGCCATTAGCCTAGCAGCAGCTCTCATGACCTCCTGCTCATGACAGGAATATCGAGTTTTTTTATTTTTAATATTTTAGTTTAGCTGATGTAAGACATATACAAACACTCTATTAGTACATTGATATGTAAATTAATGTAATGAGTTTGACCAGTCTCTGTCAAGGTCGATACATTGCAGTTTCCTGGAAAGCTTTATAATATGTTGGCGTTTATTGAAATTGTTATTTACGTGTAGGTTGTTTTTTGGTAGTTGAGGCCTTATGAAGGCATTATATATCAGCCTATAGAGGTCCAATGCGATCAGGGTTGATACTGCACATTCATTTCTGAATTTCAGAGTGCTTTCCCTTATGAACATGACATTTCTTAAACTCATAAATGTGGTTTTGTTTTTGTGTAGACCCTGCAGCAGGTCTCCAGGCGGACCCTGTCCAGTTCTGCACGCAGACAGCTGGAGAATAAAGTCCCTGTCAAGCAGAAGTTGTTTCAAGTTAGTCCTCCAGACTAGTTCTGATCTAATCCAGCTAGACATTTTAGCTAAAGATTTCACTGAGTTAGTTCCTACATCGTCTTTGTCCTCTTTGGCACTGGCTAATGGTAATGTTAAAGTTAAGACTGCAGTTTGTTCCCAGGTTCTGGACTGATGGTCCAGTGTGGATGAACAGATAAGTATCAAATGATTCGCTAATAGGGTTCACTTTTATAGTAAGCTGTAATTACTAATCACTGCATGTGCTGTCATGCTGAAATAGAGTCTAATTAAACAAGTAGAGTAAAGCTTCACTTATTCCATAACTGCGATATCACTGGCTTTGACGCTGGCACATTCTGCTTACGGCAGTCTGGCGGTAAATTGAGGGTGTCTGTTATATTGTGCTATGTGTCTGATCGATTATGAATGTTCAGTTAGTTTCGGTGGTCCCATCCATAGGAGTAAAACTGACCAAAGCAAGTGTTTTCTAAAAACATAACATAAGAGTACTTCTATTAAAGGAGATCTGTAGCATTATTCTTACTTCCTAAATATGCAACTGCAGAATTTGGCTCTTCCTCTTCAATCTGTTTTTATGCTTTACACTTGTGGCCCCGCAAAAGTGCGTGCTGGTGTATCAAATGCTAATATGCGGTTTCTGTTTCTTTCAGGAAGACAGTGGCATGCCAGTTCATTTGAAGGGAGGCACGACAGATGCTCTCTTGTACAGGGCAACGATGGCTCTTACTGTCTTTGGTAAGCTATAGATATTTAGCTTGCCATTTAAGCGTTCATTTGTAGTATTTTTGCTTGAACTGCCTTTCATTTTATTCATCTGGAATCTTGGGATTACCGTCAGTGTGGTTCATAATAATAGCCTAATGATTAATAACTCCAGTAAATAATATTACATTAATAACGTTTGTTTTGTAAATACTCTAATAGGATCTCTTTAGGGCCTTATGAAAATTGTTCAAATTAATTTAATAACAAATAAGAAAGTTTTTAATGTTTCTGGATTGTGTCCAGATTGTTGGATTGTGTTCTGTTTTAATTATTAAATTTTCATAATAAAAAAAGCATGTCTAATTAATAGAAATCATGAAACAGAGACAATTTAACAAGAATTTGTTAAATTTAGGGTCCGATGAAATCCGTTTTATTTTTCTCAAATTATGGTTAATGGTTTAATTAATGAAATTAATGATTTAATTCAATGTAATAATCAAAAATGGCTTATCATCCGAATTTTATTATTATGGTTATTACTTTATTATTTTATAATTATTTAGTAAAAATATATTATTTTGTTTTATTATTATTATTATTATTATTATTATTTTAAGAATTAAAGTTTAACAGTTTTATTTTTGGCAAAGAAAGTGATACTGTTAAAACATGGAAGAAAAATTGTGATCCTTAAAGTTGTAATAATTTTATTATTATTATTATTATTGGAGAATGTTTTTGTGGGTCCTGCAATACAACTATACAAACAAAAAAGAAACCCTAGAAGTAGTTCATACATGTTGTGTGCTATATTTCGAGTCGTGTGAAACTGAAGAAATATGCTGAATATAGCCCATGTTTGCATCCAGATTAGGCTTGCCACGATAGACGGTGCTGACGTTGATACCGGTGTTAAGCCGCAACACTGGTTACGTCACTTGCCCACCTTTATTTAAACTTTGTGTCATTTATTTATTTTTTTTTACGTCAAGGTGTATGCCGTGCCTCCAAGCTTTCTCACTCGTTTTGCAAATAAAAGTTCTACGTTTCTTATTTATTTGGTTATATATTATACATGTTTACTTAGCCTATTTCCAGTTTTGTATACCTATTTAAACTTTATGTAAGTTATTTGTTATTTTATATTAGGCATAGCCTGCCCTATAGCATGGTGTATTTTTATTTGTTTTGTTAATAAAAGTTCTATGTTTTATATATAGGCTAAAGTGAGTTTGACGTTGTATTTTGTTGTTGCATTTAAGCAATTGACTGCCGCTAATTCGAAAGTGAAAGTAAAATGCGCACTGTGCTTTTAAGCTATTTAAAAGTGAAGGAAAGCGAGGAAAAGAGGGAAAATTCAAACGAACTAAAAACGAACAATTGCTTTACGCCGAATTGCCGCTGTTTGAAAGTGAAAGTAAAATGTGCACGCAGCTTTTACAAGCTATTTAAAAGCAAAGGAAAGCGAGACAAAGAGGGAACGCCCCACCCCCGTGGTGATACCATTATTACCGGTGTTGTCACACGTCGATTAACCGGTGGGAAAATGTCCTCACCGTCACAACCCTAATCCAGATTTTCCAGATTTGAATAAGTGTAGGACTAAATCTGGTCAAATATTACACATTGCTCTTTGTTCCTCACCGTCACAACCCTAATCCAGATTTCAAACGGACATGCCAGTGACATCGTTGCCATTGACACAAAAACTAATGACAAAAAAATCGTAATGTTTTAAAATAAAACAGGTTTATTCCTGTACTCGGCTGTGCTGCTATATAGTTTGCAACTGTATTTGCAAATATAATCGAGAAAGATGTGATCAAACTGTGTGTGTTTTTAATTTTTAATAATATTTCTAAATGTATTAACAGCAGAACAGTTGCTTATAGTTACTCATACCAGGGAATATGAGTAATCCCAGCAATCTTAATTTAGGTTAAATGTCTTTAAGGGTGTTCAAAGGTCATATTTTCTTCATTGTACTGTTTTCAGTGTAAAAATTTAGTGAATATGTAATTGTTTGGCTTTGTAAACAGCACTTTTATTGTCCCACCCCTCTTCTCTCCACAGGGTGTGGTTATGTGCTGTATGCATTGACCGATGCAGCGCTGCCCAAGAAGAAGGATTGAACATGCCCCTCTATTCATGTTGTAAAGACCTCTGATCCTCAGAAAGATATGTCCTGTCAGTTATTTTCATTACAATGGATTCATATTTATTGATTATAATGTAAAGCGCAATCATTATGTAATAAAACGTTCCACTGTACTGGCAGTCTGTGTTTGAAGTTTTCTTCTCAACTGGGTTTTCATTAAATTTCATTAGATTTAAAGTCACGTTGCAGCAGTAGTGACAGATCTTTTCTTCCATCCTGTGAATCCTGTGCATGTGATTGAAACGGATTCTTGGAAAGATTCCGGGGCGGGACTTGGTTCTTGATTTTTGGTTGTTGATTGGATGTTGAGATGTGGGCGTGGCACTTATGTGTCCTCTGTACATCACCAGAGGAATGTCTGTCAGCCAGTTATGACACTGATTATACATTAGAAGTTCTAAAAATAAAGGTTCAAGCATGTTCATGGATGAATCATGCACTATAACGTGCATTTAGAAAACCGGGAGAATTTTCATTTATGTTGACTTTAAAGTATAAGTACATTTCAAACCAGCATCTCATCTTGATCACATTCTCAACTTTTTCTTGAACTGAAGAAGGAATCTTGAGGATAAGGCTGTCCCTATGTATATGAACTCTATAGTATGGAGGATAATTGTTCAGCTTTGCTGTATGTTAATTATGTTAGAAATATACTAATAGTTGGGTTTTCAACAATTCTCTGTTTTGTATGCTAAAGAATAGTAGCCAACAAATAGGCTAATTGGGGGCAGTCGTGGCCTAATGGTTAGAGAGTCGAGTCTCAGGTCCTTGAGCAAGGCATCGAACCCCGAACTGCTCCCCGTGCGCCACAGCAATATGGTGTTCACTACCAGTGTTGGGGGTAATACATTACAAGTAACACGAGTTACGTAATCAGATTACTTTTTTCAAATAACTAGTAAAGTAACACATTACTTTTTAATTTACAACAGAGTATCTGAGTTACTTTTTCAAATAAGTAACGCAAGTTACTTTTTTTTTCACATTTATTGACTGACAGCTCTCCTGTCCCCTTGTTGAGAGAAATCAGATGTTACTGTAGTTGTAAAATAAATATGAATATGCATTAATTCATCTCACAAAAAAAAAAAACAGATTCAGTATTCCTCAAAATTAATAAAAATAATGCAACTCAGAATAT